CCCCAAAACCCCAAAACCCCAAAACCCCTCATTAAATATTGCTTTTAAATATTGGAATATTAGGAATGATTTTAAGTTAATTTAATAGGATATAGTGCTTCAATAATTATTTAATAGGTCTGGAGGGAAAAAATTTGAGGTCTTATCAGGCAGTTTCCCCCCATATTTCTCCTCTAGGGAATTTTCATTTATTACTTAAACTACAGAGTTTTTGAAATCTCCCCCAAATAATTACATTTTGGTAAGGGTGAATTGATCTACTCCGTTCTTTGCTATACTCCATAAACCTCTAAGTAGCCAATGTAGATTGATAGCGAACAGCCTATACATTCTTCCTCTATAATTACTTTACATGGAGGAGATCATACTCTATAAAAGATTTTTTGGAATTTATGTCAAGCCCACATTATTGAGATCAACTATTACAGTCCAGTTCTCTATCTTTGAGGGATACATGCATTCATTTATTAGAAAATCTAAAAAGTAGTTTGACATATCAACTAAATTCTTCTCATCTATCTTTGAAGCAATCAATCTCTCAACATTAATAATTATTATTGGCCTATGGCCTTTATCTCTTTTGAACGCATAGAGTAATCCTGTCTACAAATAGTTTTCAAATGGACTTGGATTAATTGGGAAAATTTCAGTTTTCCATTTATAATTATCATTTAATGCCTATTCAGTCTCCTCGTAATTAAATTTCATGCCTTGTAGGAACCTCAAAACTAATCTAGAATCATTGTCAAAGCCAGGTGGAATCTAATTCCCCTTAGAATTTATAAGATCTCTAAGGCCTTGAAGTTCCTATTCTTCTTTTTCAGTAAGAACCTATGGCTTAGAAAAGATTAGTCTTTACTACAATCCACTCTTAATAGTAATAAAAATATCCTCAGGTTTAGGTTGATAATTCTATGCTTCATCAGTAAAAAATTTCTAAAGACTTTCCTCAGAAGGCTTTAGTATAGGTTAGCTTTCCATTTTATTTTAGGACGTTAATTAATTTTATTATAGCCATTAATAAAACATGTTAAGATAATTGGCGTGCTTTTGGGGTTTTGGGGTTTTGGGG